CCTAAAACATGAGAATATACCAAAAACAAACAAACAAAAAAACCCCAAAAAACAAGAAACAAACAAAAACTGACAAAAATCACAAGAAAAAAGAATCAAATGTCAAAGACTTAAGATTGCAAAAAGTAATGTATAAGTATATTACCATGTGTAATGATATAATGATTTATAATGCTAAAAGTCATAAAAGAAGAAATCCAAACCCTAAAAAAATAATTATACCCTTTATATTTGTCAATGTTAACAATCAATGCTAGCTACAATATCAAAGAAGCAAGTAGGAGGTAATCAATGTTAGCTACAATACCAGATAAACCCCAGATCACACAGCAAAGGATATTTCTCATTTATATTAGAGTTTGATTGGGAGTTTAAGAGTGGCCTTGCATGTGCTAAATAAGGATTTTTGGCTCTTTCCATCTTGTGGCGTTACTGATGAGGGAACAGAAGGCAAGCTGAAGACAAAGCAGAAGCTGACACCCCACAACACCCCCCAAGCCCCAAATGGTATCTATGTGACATTTCTCATGCACTCTTGGCTCTCTAAAGCTATAGAAAGGAAAAACAAATAGTTAACTTATGGAGATCACAATCCTGCAAGTCTCCCTCAGTTTACAAATGTCTTAGCAATCTATAAGAACAAAGCACTTCCATCAATAACCTAGCTTTGAAGGAAGAAGGAAATGTAGATACAGTTAAACGTTCTTATAACCTGCAGCCCATTGACAGATACTTGAAGCAGGCAGAGTGTAATGTTCCTCCAGGAAGCTTCCAACTATCCTAACATCAATGCCTTGCTAGAGGGGGGAAAACAACTTTAACTTGACAATGGCAAGGCCTCAGGTATCCTGTGAGTCTTCTTTAACATATGAAAATTCTTTTGAAACCCCCATGTTCCCTACCTCCCCCAACTCCCAAGTATATAAGCAGCCACACCTCACAAACCAGGTGCAACAGCTCTTTCTGCCCACGGGTCCTGTCCCAGTGCTTTTATAAAACCACCATTTTGCACCTAAGATGTCTCAAGAATTCTTTCTTGGTCATCAGCTCCAGACCTCACCCCACTGAACCTCACCTATATTCCAAAACCCCACCAATTACCATTTCCCAAGATCTTCTCTGAAGGATTGAGCATGCGGACAAGTATGTCATAGGATGTTTTATGAGCCTGGAGGTAGGATACAACATATCTCCCCATACATGCTATTGTCTAAAACACCACCACAAAGTACCAGCCAAACTGCAAAGGACTGGGAAATATAAGAAATGAGGAACAGGACTGGTGAGCCATCTGATCAACCTTTACCTATTCATAAAACCTTGAAACAGTCCTAATTAGAAATGATAGAAGTAGTATGTCAAGACATTCATTCTTTTATTTCATGTAAATAGATGGCAGATTTCTTATGTTATCCAGGCACTGTTTCAATTGCTGGAGATAGAAGGAGTGAACAAAAAAACCATGGATCCTTACCCTTTGTAAGTGAAACTTACAAAGCCTACCTGTGGAAATACACAAGCACCAAAGGATTAGTGAGAGAACAATCAAGTGCTATAAAAATGAAGCAATATGAAAGGAGGCAGAGGGGTTGCTATTCTAGATAGGATGTTCGAGAAAGTCCCTCCCACCCCCTGCCCCAGAAGGTGAAATTTGAGAGAGACCTTTCACTTTCTTGTTGCTAAATTCAACATTTATTTGTTCATATTTCATTCTGTTGATCTATTAGCAGCATTTGGATTTGCTGTGCATTCTTTTACTTAAAAAAATGTTTTGGGGCGCCTGAGTGGCTCAGTGGATTAAGCCGCTGCCTTCAACTCAGGTCATGATCTCAGTGCCCCACATCGGGCTCTCTGCTCAGCAGGGAGCCTGCTTCCCCTTCTCTCTCTGCCTGACTCTCTGCCTACTTGTGATCTCTCTCTCTGTCAAATAAATAAGTAAATAAAATCTTTAAAAAAAAAGTTTTACTTGACTTTTAAGGCATAACCCTCTACTGTTTTATTTCTGTTTCTGTTTCTTAATGCTGCTATAATAAAATACCACAAACTTAGTGGCTTAAACACTACAAAACTATTATTGTGCAATTCTCGAGGTCTGAAGTCCAAAATGGGTCTCACTGAGCTAACGTGAAGGTACCAGCAGGGCTGCCTTCCTCTCTAGAGGCTCTCAGAGAGAATCCATTTCCTTGCCTTTTTCAGCTTCAAGAAGCTGTTCACTGTCTTTGGCATGTGGCCTCTTCCTTCTGTCTTCAGAACCAACAGTTTTGCATTTTTCTATTCATTCTTCCGGAATAAAATCTCCCTCTGACGACTTCTGTCTCCTTCCACTTTTGAGAACACATGTGACTGCACTGAACCCATGCAGATACCAGGATAACCTCCCATCTCAAATACTTAAAGTTGTCCACAAACCCTCTCTTGCCAGGAAAGGTAACCTATCCCCGAGTTCAGAAATTCGGGTGTGGACATGGGTGGGGGAGGAGCGAGAGGTGGGGGAGGGGGAGGATGAATTATTCTGTCCCCCACACTCACAGACTGCTTTTCTCAGTTTTCTTCCTATTCTTTCTGACTTTTCACATGGAGTATCAGAGCCGGTATACAGCTGTACTGATAGTCAGAATACTGAAATATTTTAATATTGATTGTGGAATAACCTTAACAATAACATTACCAATAACCCTGAGCCCTAGACATTTCTGTCTCCTGCTTGCCCTGAGCCCCTGACCCACCCTGAAGACCTCATACTCCTGACCCCGGGGATTCAAAGTAAATAATGTCTAACATAACGAGGCTTTAAGGATTGGTCAATTGCTCACCAGTTGTTAGGTGTCTTGAATAGCTTTAAGTCTTAATAGCCTGAAGCCTTAAGACTTCAGATATCATCTAAATGCTGATGACTCCACTTTTCACTTTTAGACTGATTCTTCCTCCCAAAGCCTTAGAATCCTATGTCTAACTAACTATTCACCATCACCACAAACCTGTGATAAACACAGCTCATTTAGAAATGAAACGCTGTTTTACTCCTTACTTCCGTTTTGCCCAAACCCATAGTCTTCTGTCTTGCAGGAAACATCAGTTCAACCTATGGGCTTTCTCTTAAAAACAGGGGCCTCTCCGTTGCTGCCCCACCAACAGCAACCTGGTCCAAATCACCCTCTGCTCTCACCTGTTATTTCGGCGCCATCTAAATTCTCTCTCTTGTTCCCTTTGCCCTTTTCTCAACATAGCAGCAGGCATGAATGATTATAAACTTCCCTGCTCAAAACTCTCCTTTGGCTTCCTTTCTCACCTAGGGAAATCAATGTCCTTCCTTTGGCTTACATCATCTTTATAATCTCTGCATCTCCTGTTCCCTCTCTGAAATTACCTCCTTTTACTTTCCTTCAGCCCCACTGATCTCTATTCTTCAGATAAGCCAGGATGTGCTCCGCATCTGGAAGCCTCTGCCTTGCTACTTGTACTTGCCATTTCCGGTCTCCAGAACAGCCTTCCCCAGATGCACACAGTGCGATCCTTCACGTTCTTCCCCGTTGAGTGAACTATTACCCTATGATGGAGTGCTTTCCTTAACCACTATATTAAAATTGTGTACCTTAACTCTTCAGTTCCCCCTTCCTATTTTATAATTCCCCCTAATTTTTCACTTTCTAATGCACTCTATATTTTAGTTTATTTATGCTGTGATTTTATGTTTCTACCCACTAGAATATGAACTCTATAAGGGTAGAGATTTTTGTCTGGTTTGTTCAATGCCTATCCAAGGGTCTAGAGCAGGGTTGTAGTCATTCACAATTAAAACTTGAAAAATTAAATGAGACACGTATTTTAGACTTTAAAGGTTACAATAATAAAGAAAAGGTAAAAGTCAAGGTTTAGAGATATAAAATTGCAACATAATAATGAGTGTATAAAACAAGTCCAACTTCTCTGTAGATAATTAGTGAAAATATATCACAAACTTTAAATATGCATGTATTTGGGTACTTTACGTTCTCTTATTAAAATCTATCCTAAGAAAAGAATTAATAAGGAATGCAAAGATTTGGGAATAAGGAGAGCCTCTAAAAGCTTGTTTATAATGGTGAAAAAAGGGGTGCGTTGGTGGCTCAGTTAGTTAAGAGCATGCCTTTCGCTCAGATTATGATCCCGGGGTCCTGGGATCGAGCCCCATGTTGGACTTACTGCTCAGGTGGAGAGCCTGCTTCTCCCTGTCCCTCTGCCTCTCCTCTTGCTTGTGCTTTCTCTCCCTCTCTCTCTGTGTCAAATAAATAAATAAAATGTTTAAAAAATACATAATAGTGAAAAAATTTTTAAATCAAAACCTTCAAGTTTTTAAATACAGAAACTTAGACAAAAGGAAGTATATTTATACAATGGAACAGTATGCAATCATAAAATTTGTATTTAGATAAATTCTCATCGACATAGGAACTATTTATAATATACTGATAAATGGAAATAAACAGTCTATAAAGAGAATGTGCTGAATGATGCTATTTTTGAAGAAGAAATGTATATCTTTGGACAGTTGTTAACAATGTGATTTATAGAATGGAGTGGGAATGTCTTTCCTACTTACCTAACCTTTAAAAAATTTTATTTTAAAATAATGATCACATAGCACACTTATACTGGGAAAAATCAAAATTACATTTGTAATGATCTTCAGAAAGCCATTAATATTATATGTGCAAAGGATTTTAAGTGTGAATTATATATAAATATTCCCCTTCATGGCATTTTATGTGTTTATGATGAATGTCCTGCATTAGCAAATAGGGCCTAAGGCTCAGAATTTGTTTACAGAATAATCTCTTCAGGTATTTTAGTTTTTTTGAACCCTAACCTGTGGAAGCTGTCTGGCTACAGGGAACAACGATTGAAAAATGTCTTTAACATGACTGCTGATTAGACCATTAAAGTTATACCATGCAATGAACCCAATATTTTACCTCAGAGATTTGACTTAAAACTAACCCACCTCCCTGCTCTGTTTCTAGTCAGTACTACGTGGGCAGTAATGTGCAACCTAGTTCCACTGAGCAGAAGAAGGGGAAATTCCCAATCTGGCCAGAATGGAGTGAGGCTGACATCAATGCAGAGAAGTGGGACGCAGGCAAAGGTGGAAAAGAAAAGGACAAAACGGGAAAAAGCCCTCTATTTGTAAGTCCGCTTGAATGTGACTAGAGCTCATTTTAGTCCTAATTTTATAGTAGCATAAGATTTGTTAACATGGACCAGTGCTCTTTCTTCTCCAGAGGCTCCCTTCAAGAGAGAAATTCTGTCTTTGTCCACCTGTCTCCCTCCATCCTGCCTGTCTTTCCAAGCCTTAGACCTGGGCTTTTCTAATTCCATTTGCGTAAGAGAAAGGAGAGAGATGATCAGAGGGTCATAATGAAATAAAGGGGAAATTGATAGAACAAGTCAGATAGTAGATTTTGGACAGGGTTGGGAACAAGGCATTTAGAGTAGTTTAGAAAATGAAAGTCCCACCAGACCTATAAACTGTTATCTGGTGATGATAGGAGATTTTTTTTTTTTTTAAGTTGTTACTGTGAGATAAGGGTTGAATCTCTTAATATCTCCCCCCTGAAGATATTTGGGGAAGGATCTCAGGTATTCATTGTTTCTCTATGGCCATCGAAACATGATGTGTCCCTAGGATTGGAGCTGAGAACAGTGTGCCTACATTTTCCAAGTATATTATCTTAGGTTCTTTTGCCTTTTTAAAAATGTTTACTCTATTTCTAAAGACTTCTTTTTGAGGGTATGAGTCTGGGTTGCATTTTAAATATGACCCTTTGGGGCATCTGGGTAGCTCAGTCGGTGAAGTGTCTTCCTTCGGCTTAGGTCATAATCCCTGGGTCCTCCCATTGAGCCCAGCATCAGGCACCCTGCTCACTGCTCAGCGGGGAGACTGCTTTTCCTTCTGTCTGCTGCTCCCCCTGCTGGTGCACGTGCTCTCTCTCTCAAATAAATAAAGAAAATCTTTTAAAAAATTTTAAAAAAATATATGACCCATTTATTTGGTGCAACAATTCATTTAACCAAAATGTTTATGAAACACAATGCAGTTGCAAAAACACAAACAAAATTGCCAGAATGACCATGATGAACTCTGGGGTGTTTATTTGCATCGAGAACTCTGGAATGGTTCTTATTAGCAATTATATTTAGTTCACAAAATGCAGAAGTATAAACTGCATAATTCATTACAGTAATTTGTTTATAAAAGATTACAAATGTAACTAATTGCTGGTTCTGTTAGTACCTGAACAATTTCAGATTAGGAACGTATGAGGGAATACATTCTTTTCACCATACCTAGGGTGACTGTGGAACTTTTAGACAGACAGGGCTTTTGAACTCTGTGGGTTCAAATGACAATGGTCATAGTCTACATATTTTTAACAGAAATTTACAACTAAAAGGGGTTGAGTGTGAATGTACATCAGGAAGATAGACTGTGCAAATCCTCAGGTAAGCACTGAGCTCTAGAAAAGACCTAAAAACAAGCCATTATAGAGTGTGAAGGATAACAGGGTGAAGAGCAGCTGTGCCTGAAAACTGAAATAGGAAATAAGATATAAATAAGATATAAACTGTAACATGTTAGGGCCCTTAAAGTGCAAGTAAGCCTTTACCAGGTGACTACGAAGAAATCCTGCAGATCTCTGGGAGGTTAGGCATCAAATTCTGGAACTTACCAATGTTATTGAAACAGGGGCACATCTGTTGAAAGAACATTTATTGGAGGAAAACCATTGAGACTGGAAAAGTAACATGTGTGCTGGATACTTGATGGGGGGCATTTCATTTGGGAGCAACATATAGGAATGTTGCTAACTGAACATCAGACTCCAACCTTGATTCTGTGATCCTCGGACCATGTATAAAACTGCATGATTAGGGCAGCACCAGCCCTCCTCCTGTGGTGAATTGGGACTATTCCAATGGTGTGTGACACTTCAGAACCTGAGCCAACATTCCATTCTGCCTCTGCCATCTTCACAAGGCGGAAGAGTATCAGGTCAAACCCTGGTTCTTACAACAGCCCAGATACCATATGGGATACAATCTTGCTTCCCACTCCCAGTTCTGTTCTACAACCTCAACATTCATGGCTGTGAAGTGACAGTCCCTCACGGGAGTGAGTGGTGGACAGCCCAAGCATGTCACATTTGCAACATCCACAGCTTACCAGAGTCAATTACCTTAAGCATCTGACTATAGCAAGTATCCTTGGAATTTTATAGAAAGTCTCTTCTTTAGATGTGAGGCTAGTGATCGGGAAATCAGCATCAGATAAACTAACCCTTCCCTGTAATTCCAGAGTCAAGTCTCAATTCTTCAGCTAAGTGACAGCAACAAAAAGACATGGTGGGTAAACCAAACTGAGATATATATAATGAAGCATTGTAAGGTGCATATAAGAAATACACCTAAGGCAAAATGACATAGAAAGATTACCATTTACCACTAACTTAACATGGAGAAAAGGGAATCATACCAGATTATGATATGGTAAACTCCCATTTACCTTTTTTTTTTTCCTCTCCTTAAAAACACTTAATAATTCAAGGCATGACAATGAAAGGCCAAACAGAAAGTAGTAGCCGGGGTTTATACCAGTTTTTCTGGGCTGGAGAGAGAGAGGATATTGACTGAGGCTGCGAAAACAGCCAAAACTAGAACCCAAATCCCAGAGGTAATTACAGAACCACAATCGGAATATTTCCCATATAATTTTATTTCAAGACATTTAACCAAATCCTAAGCTATATGTGTGAAGATTTTGCTGCTGAGCAAATGAGTAAAAAACAACAGTTTGGAAGTTAAATAACAGAAAATATTTCATGATGCTATGGCAAGAGATTGGAATTTAGGGTATACCAAGGTGAAGGGACTCAGACACTCCAGCTTTTCAGTGAGTACCCAAACATGGCTATAGCATTCTGTGTTGAGTAAGGGTAAACCAAGCCTACACCAGCCCAGTCAAACCCTGAGACCCAGTGTTGATGGGGTCAAGTTCATTTTGTACTTTGCCTGCCAGAAAGGATGAAATCCTCCTCTCTGGAGGAAGGTGTCATTATTTAGGACCCATATACATTTTTATATGCAACATTTATCGTACAACCCAAATTTATCACACATGAAAAGAATTAGGACAAAGTGGCTGAAAAACAAGAGGAAAATTAAATAATAGAAATAGATCCATGAGTGACTGATTTTGGATTGTCAGATAAGGGACTTTAAAATAACTGAATTATTTGTAAGGGAGGAAAACAAAACAATATGAGGCAAACCCAGAAGTCTAGTGTGTCTCTTGGAAACATCAGTCTATTGTTCAGGGACTCATTCTTGGATCATTTTGACTAGATATTGGGATTGCCTTTATCTTCATTCAAAATATTTCAGAATCTTAAATATGCTCCATACACATAGACACTTTGTGAAAAAGCTCAGACAAGGCCCTCAAATATAACAATTTCTCAGGTCACACTAGCATTTGGATAAAAATGTGATTACCATAAAAATCACAAAATAGTATTTTCTTCCCCCTATCACTATTAACTCAGGTGAAATTTAGTACTCCTTATTTTTCAATACAGATAGTTTATATTCCTACAGCATTGTTTTTGTACTCCCAGCACTTTTCATTTTCTGTAAGGCTCACTGCCACAACTTAACTATTTTAGGATCTGTGAGAACTTTTACACAGTAGCTACTTGAAATCTAATTTACTATATTCTAGCATTCGAGAGTAGATATTTGGATATCATTCTTCTTCCAGAGCTCACTAACTGACTCATTCTAAGGACTCAAAAATTAATAAATTAATTGCATTCCTGGGCATTTACCTCCGAGAAATGGAAACTTATGTTCATATAAAAAGCTGTAAGCTATATACAAAAATTTATAGCAGCTTTATAAGAGCCCCAAATTAGAAACAGCCCAAATGTCCTTCAATGGACAGATGGTAAACAAACAAACAAATATCCATATCATGAAATATTGCTCAGCAATAAACAAAACAAACTGCAAATTGATACTTGCAACAGCTTGAATGAATTGAATATCCCGGGAATTAGGCGGAGAAGGAAAAAAGCCAATCCAGAATCTTACATGCTATATGATTCCATTCATATAACATTATTTTTTTTTGAAGATTTATTATTTGTTTATTTGAGAGAGAGTGCATGCATGTGAGATCAGAAAAAGGGGCAGAGGGAGGAGGAGTGAGAATCTCAAGCAGATTCTTTGCCGAGCACAGAGCCCAAAGCAGGGCTTGATCTCATGACCCCAAGATCATGACCAGAGCTGAAACCAAGAGTCAGACGCTTAACCAACTGAGTCACCCAGATGCCCCTCATATAACATTATTGAAATGACAAAAAGAGACCAGATTAATGATTGCCAGGTGGTAGGGATTAAACAGGTGGTAAGGGGGTGGGAGGGTGGGCATGGCCATAAAAGGGCCTAGGAAGGATCCTTATGCTCCTGGAACTGTGGTATACCATGACCGTCAACATCAGTATCCTGGTTGTGACATTGCACTCTGGTTTTGGAAGATTTCCCACTGGAGAAACCAAGTAGAGAGAACACAGGAACTCTCTTTATTATTTTACAGCATGAGTTGTGAATCTATAATTATCTCAAAATAACATGTTTAATTTTAAAAATTAATAAATGAAAGTCAGATCCAAGGTTCAAAAATTTCCCTGGCATACAATCATATTTATGATTTTTTAATTTTCTCAAGTAAAAACAAGAACAATCTTTTCAGTGCAAAATATGTCCATATCTGGCCCATCCAAATTGCTTTCCTACTATACCTACTTCACATTCCAAAGCAGCTCATGCTCATTTTGATTGCTTCCTCTGCAATAAAATGTTACTCAACAATTGAGGTTTTGCTCACTAAATACAGTATTATTAACTTCCATATTCACCAAATACTCCATGAGCTACTTCTGAGAGCAATTATACAAATTGCTCTATAAATGCATATTTATTGATTTAATCTATGAACTTACTGATTTTTATTAGGATTGAGTTGGTTTCATATTTTTAGAATCATATGGAGACAAAAAACTCAATATATATTTTTTTATACAGCATTTTTTTGAAGACCCCGAAGGAAAGATTGAATTACCACCATCGTTGAAAATTTATTCCTGGAAACGTCCACAGGATTTTTTAATTAATCGGGTAAGAAACATTTTCACTATTGAACAAAATACATGTTAACTGTGGGCTATAATATCCTAGTTATGAAAATTCTCATTTTTAAAACAATGTAGGGTAAATTTTTCCCATGGTATTTAGTAAGAAAAAGGAATTACTTTTTGACATTTAATAGAGATAAATGTGTATCAGCATAGTTTAATATCACTTGTACGGGCAACCAAGAGCATATTGAAATTTTGTGTAAAGTCTTGAGTTGTTTTTTTTTTTTTTCTTTTTTACATGATATCAAAGAAGAGCCTAAAACGTGTGGGAAGTTATTCCTTAATTTCTGACTGACAGAATTACCTTTTACAGCTGCTTAGCAGGAATTTATGTGGCCTGAAGGTCTGTTTACTCTAGTGTTTATTAGCACTAATTTTCTAGCCCAGGAGACTGGCACTTGGCTCTCTGCATTCCAGGTATTCCTGAAGCATTTCCCAGGGGCCATCTTCATTTCTGGACTTGACACGCAGCCACTTGAGTCACATTGACTGGGACATCACCAGAGAAGCCATCCTTTAAAATAGCATTATGTACATGAAAACTTTAGATCCACTGGTCTGCCTTCTTAACAGTCATGTTAGTTTGAACATATTTGCTGTTTCCAAGGGTCTAAATTATCACTAACTCCTTTTTTTTTAGTTTATGACTCTCTAGAATTTTCATTTAATGCACGGAAAACCAGTAGGCTAAAATAGTTATTTAGCATTAATCAAATGGTTGTAAAGGAGCTGATTCTTCCATTGGCTATGGAATCCACTGAATCACAGTTTCACACAAAGTGATTTTATTCCTAAAATTTTTAGCCTTTATAAGCACCACTACTATTGCAAGAAAATACAATTTATCCACCATATTTCCAATTGCTGTTACTAACTGAGAAGGTCAGATAATCCTAATTACAAAGATATTTGGTAAAATAAAAGAATAAGATATTTCAACAGAATATTTATTGAATGCCTACTTGTAAGATATTTTAAATAAATCAAATGTCCATGAACCAAGCCTTTAAATTACTTATAATGTTAGATAATACTGGTATGAAGAATATAAGTTCTTTGGTGTTAATATAGTGCACTTAATAGTAGTGAATTATTCATAATATTCAGGCTCTGTGCAGTGGAAGTGCAGGATTTGCATTCCACGCAAATAAAGGTTATTAAGTTCCTAAAGTGAGAGTGTTTCAAATGTGAATAAGTAGAAAAGTTTTACACCACCTTTTTCTTTTTAACATACCTTAGTTCTGAGAGATAACACTTGTATAATAAGTGAATTCATCCGTTGTTGGTGGTAACACTTCTCCCGACATTTATCGTAATGTTGCTGCCCATCTCAACACCTCTGTTCTGTGCTGACCTCTTCCTCTTGATCTTGTGCACGAACTCCTCTTGGAGTGTGGACCAGAATAGCCACAGCTGAAAGTCTAGCTAGCTAGGATAGTCTTAGAATAATGTTTTTTTAAGTTTTAATGTCTAGATCCACAGTGGTAAGTATATTTTACATGGAAACTCATTAACTGTGGGCATACAGAAAGCTCAGACAAAAATTTAGCAGAACAATAACGAACTTCCTACATGAGATTGATTCTATTCTACTCTAAGCCAAATATGAAGTCGGAGGACACGATTTAAGTCAGAGAGAAGCTAAATTATGAACAAACTTAAGAGCCTGGATTCAAGATATCACAGTCAACATGGGCTATACAGCTGAGGAGGTTAACAAGCTCTGACCACTGAGGGAATGATCAGTTTTGTATATTTCTGAGAATCAGGTGTGGGTGGTTCAGGTCCTTGAGTAATGATGATACTGAGTAGATGTAAAGGGTCTGAAGATGGATTCTGTCTCAAGGACAGGTGTAGGGAATAGAGACCTCTAGAGACGTCCACCTTAATATTTGCTACCTTTTACACACCATCGGTTTCTATCTTCTATTGATTGGCAGGTAGCTATTAAGTGGCCCACCTCGAATTTTAGTTATTCAATATTTAATCTATGATTAATTTTAATGTAGGTTGTTACTTGGTGAAGAGTGTGGCCATTTTAGAAGTGCAATTAGCCAAAACAGAATTTAAAACATACGTTTTTGTATAAAATATTTTATATAATATATATCGAACTTACTATGATCATAAATTATACACTAAGAGTCAACTCAGGCCTTCAAGGTAGTTTGGGTTAATTTCTCTCAGACATAAAGAAATATTTTATTGAGTTTTCAAGATGCTCGTTATACATGTGATTGAGAGTAGTTGATGACATTAGTTTCCATGAAAATCTTTTATTAATCAAAACCATATGTATGTTAATTTGATATGTTGTCGTGGCCGGCGCAACAAATCAACCGGCAACGTGAGGATAAGAGGATGGTGAAAAGAAATTAAGAGACCAAGAGATGGGGGCAGGAGGAGCACTGAGGAGGATGTCCAACAGTGCTAAGTTTATTCAAAGCACTAAGGCCATATATATAGTGATAATAGGAGAAGCAATACACCTGTGTCTAGTTAAACAACCACGAATTCCTCGTGACGCCAAATGGCTGATGCCAGTACAAATACAACAAACCTGAAAATAATTTATGGGCTGTACTAGGGCAGCAAGGACCAGCAACGAACTTTTGACCCCAACCGAATTGTTCTCATTTGTTTAGCAAGCGTGTGGGAAGTCACGTAAGCGAGCGCACAACACATAGCACAGACCCTTTCTCAGTGCTACTCAACTTTTTCCATCCTAAACCTTTTGTTAGGTTATTCGGACTTTAAAGGAGGCACAAGTCAGGGCCTGGTTTGGTCCTCGTCTCAAGCCTTACTGTGGCCTCCCACAATATGTTAAGTATATAACCTTGATATGAATTGTAACAAATTTTTAAAAACTGTTATAAATCATATGTTCCCTTATTATGTTTATTCCTTAGTGATCTAAACATACAAAAGCATCTTTAGATATATACCAATTAAATAATGACCACCATATGATTTTTTTAAAGATAGGAGGATTTGAAAATTGGCAAGATTTTAAAAAGCTGTCATACCTAGTATGTTTTATCAAAGGGATGGAGATATTTTTCCTGCTAGCATGTGTTAACTAAGCTTCAGGTTTAACTTGAAAGGTTAATTTAAATTTTAAATCATTTTTTAAACTCTCAGACTGTGTGTGTATGCATGCTGAGACCATCTGCATATATTATATCTTAAAACATTTCATTTGTATATGAAAATACTGTGTTTGATAGGCATTACATTATGAAGTGAATGGCACCCATAGCTCTAAAAGGGTTATCTTATGGAATAATGAGCTTCACTTATTTTTTTTTTCTTTTAATTCCTCTGGTTGTAAGAAATGAGATCAGGTTTGACTTGTTTATATTGCATGAAACTATATTTCATTCAGCTACATTTCCTTTATTTTTCCTAATGAGGAATATCTCTTTTTACATATATTTTTAATTTCAGGCTCCAGTAGTTGTGAGAAATGAAATCCTGTTTGATTTGTTTTCAGCAAATGAACATTTACTCTGCAGTGAGGTATGTAAGGAAGTTTTAACTGAAGCCTGTTTTCAGGCTTCATTCTCCAGACCTGCTTAAAACAATTCCCAGACTGTCAATTTCAGTTCTCCCTTGCTCACCTCTAAGTTTTGGTGTAACTCAGTATTTTATACACCAGACATTCAAAGAGGTAGAGAAGCCTCTTCAGTTAAGTTTAATGAGCAGATGGTGGGAAATGTTAGCATTAGCTTTGCTGTGCCCCTACTCTCCTGCCCCATAAACCCACAGTAGCTGGGATCTCATGATCTGGGCTTTCTCCTCTTAGTCCAAGTGCCTAGCGATGGACATGAAGTTGCTTGGAACTTGCTCAACGTAGTGCTCAAGGGCAGGGCGTCCTGATGTTGTTTGACTTGCTAATACAGGGAAAATCTCACCTAAACACCTCCATTTCTTCACCCTGGGTTTTCTCCATCAGAAGCAGACTCTGTTCCACTTCCCTAAGGCAGTTATGTCAGAAGCAGGTCTTTTTATTTAAAATTATTTTCTCCCAGAAAAAAATTCTGTGCCAGTGAGAATTAATAGTCATTATTGATTCAAACACTTTGCCTTTCTTATCTTAAATATCTTTATTTTAAAAGATTTTTATTTATTTATTTGACAGAGAAAGATCACAAGTAGGCAGAGAGGTAGGCAGAAAGAGAAAGGGAGAGAGAGGGAAGCAGGCTCCCTGCTGAGCAGAGAGCCCGATGTGGGACTTGATCCGAGGACCCTGAGATCATGACCTGAGCCGAGGGCAGTGGCTTAACCCACTGAGCCACCCAGGAACCCATCTTATCTTAAATATCTTGACCAAGATTAAAGTCAAGACATTTCTTTCTTCAACCAGGTTGTACTGAGTAGTATAATGTTATCTCTAAAGTGTTTTATATTTTATATTTTAGCCTAAAATATGCTTATTTTATAATCCAAAGCATGCATAGACTTCAGCTTTTCATTTTTAAAAGAAGTATAAAATATTCTAGCAAAATTCCCAGGTATACATACAGGAAGATACTTGACTTACCTTTCATTTTCAACTAAACTAAACTTGAAGAAACGTCCTAGATAATGTAAATTAAGGAAAACATGAATCTTATAAGGTTAGTCTCAAGTATTTAATCTTCTTATAAACCAGGCAGTTAAATGCAAGACGATTATTTCAGAAAATCCCATGCTACTAGGGTAATGTCTTTACTTAACAACCACTGTGACCCAGAGATTTTTTTTATACATTGTTTCTATTCCCTATAAAATGCTAAAAAATAGATAGCATAATCTGCATTTTACAGACAGCATTACATAAATTGTAATTTAAAGATGGTGAAATGACGTTCCCCAGAGCGGAAGTATCTGAAGGAAGATTCAAATCCTGGTCTGTTTCCACTGCAAAGCTCAACTCCCCACTGCGCCTTGTTACCCATTGAAAACTCTGCAAGTGGGAATTTTGTTCAGAGCCCTTCTGCCTCCGCAGATTGGCGTATGAAATATGAGACTTAGAGGATATTTAAATGTGTGTGCAATTTTCTTTCTCATATCTCATTCCTTGTCTAGCTGACCCTATTGACATAGAAGAGATCATTTTCTTTGCAAACTTCTCAACGTTTACAGAGGGGTAGCTTAATCGTTTATAAAAAGTTAATCCCAAAATAATATCACTGCTCTCAGGAGCATTCATTCTCTGTCTCTCTCTCTCTGTGTCACACACACACACAGTTGAAATGAAGGTCAATGTCAAAAGGAGGTCAAAGTCAAACCACTAGTAGTTTACTCTGGAAGATAGCTCTTAGCTGAGTGTGTTTAATATTAAGTCTTTTTAGCGTGTATTGTGACTATATTTCCTGACAACAAAGGCAAGAGCCATGATGTTATTCTGTAGATCAGAAATCAAAATGTGAAGCACATTACAAGTAGAATTTAATATGAAAAAGTAGATTGGAAATAGGTTTTGACTGGTTTCCCACCTAAATTACAGTACCAACAATGGAAGAACAACTGATTAACATGAATGGCTTTTGTCTCTAGCTGATGAGATGGATTATCAGCGAAATCTATGCAGTGTGGAAGATATTCAATGGAGCTACTTTGAACAATTATTTTAAAGGGAATGCAGGGGAACCTCCTCCTCTCATCTGGAAGCCCTGGGAACACATCTATTCTCTGTGCAAGGCTGTGAAAGGTCACATGCCTTTATTCAATAACTATGGGAAGTATATCGTGAAACTTTATTGGATGGTAAGTTAGTTCACATTCATGTGCATTGAAATTCGTCTGTCCTTCATATTGAAATATATTTGTCTTACACGCTGTTACCTAGGCTATTACAAGATACAGGACATCAATTGTGCAGACACTGGGAAGATAGGTTCTACATGTATAATTTGGGGTCAATAACAAACATCGTTGTTTGTCCTGAGACCCCAATCCCACATGCTTTTTATACTGCAGTTGCTTGGACCATGGAAGGGTGGTCCTCTGCTATCTCTGTCCTGTCAGGCAGGTAGTCTGGGTGGACAGGTGGATGCATGGGGCTCTCTTCCTTCCTCCTTTGTCTGTGATTGTGGATGGGGTCTTGAGCAAAGGGAGTGCTTGAGCCTGGTCCATTCTTTCTCTCCTGGTATTTGCTGCTCCTGAGGGGCCTGGTCCCACCCAGGCTTTGCCCTAAATTTGAGATTTGTACTCAAGTTAACAAATCTTGGCTTGACAAGACGTTTTTACTTCTGCCTGAAAAGGAGCAAATGGGATAGTAGAAATAGAGAATTAAAAATCCTCTAGTTAATAAGGCAAAGTAGGCTCACACCACATTCAGCAAGACTAGATTATGAAACACCTTTGAGTTTTTGTTGGTGGCTTCTTTCTAAACGCCCAGACTCACAGGCAGGGCCAGCTACATGTTTTACAGAGCCCCTTGTTAAAATGAAAATTATTAAGAATGTCAATATGGTGATAGTAGTACTTAAAAAAAAGAGCATAGGGTCCTTCTAAGTGTGAGGTTCCTTGTGACTGTACAGGTTGTATACCCATGAAGCTGGTCCTAGTCACTAAGGAAGAATGTTCTTGACCATTTGAGGATGTGGAGAAGTATGAATAGTTAATCATTCCATTCTGTATTTCTAAAGAACATGACTTTACCCAGGGAGCCTGGGCCAATCTTTCCTGGGATGGGGGATGCTGAAAGGCCAATGCTTAGGAATTAATAGGATCATTACAGCAGGAAGGTAAGAGTAAAGAAGGTGGTATTAGCCTCGGATCTCTAAAATAAGATTCTTGGTGTTTTGATGTTTACTGCAAGACAACAGACTTCGAAAGTCAAAACTTTGTGAGGAGAGAAAATGACTTCCTAAATGTCTTTGTCTTCCTTATTTACCAAGCAGAAGGCAGATTTGGTAGACAAGAGTTCAAAATTTTAATGTGCACCAAGGAGTGAGAGTGAGGCTGTGGTGTTAAGAAGGTGGGTGCCCTGTGAATATGGATGAGGGATTACAGAGAGAAGGCAAACACAGAGGTCAAACGTCAGGGTATTTGCCTCCTTCCCCATTTTCCACACATTTGCTTACACTTGAGGAGCGAGTTCAAAATAATTAAGTATTACAAAGCAGCATCAGTAGAATATTAGACCAACCCTATTAGTTTCTCTTTCTCTGCTTCCTGACATCCTTCCTTCTTTGCAAATTTCCTTCTGGACAGAGGTCAACCTTTATTAACACTACATCTCATTTTACAAAGACACGGTGATTTATTTCTCTTTAATTGTACTGATTCCCCATAAGCCCAAATCCACTTGGATTCAGAATTAAAACAAAAATATTTACTCCAATTTGAAATTTCACTCCGAACCGATCATTGAAGCAGTCTAGAAAAGGTAGCCCTGGGGAAAGGAAGGGCCTGATGTCCAGTGGCTTCTTCTAGTTTCTCACTGGTCTCTCCTGAGGAATGGCTTGTGGGGCCTGCTGCTAAGCTGTTGAGCACTGAGATAGAACTTGTTCCATATGAATTATTTTTGTAGACAATTTGTTGACCTGAGCTGAAATCAGAGTTGGACACTGACCGATTGAGCCACCCAAGTGCCACTTTTCTTATCCTTTTTAAATACCATATTGCTTTAGTTATCACAAATTTATTGTTCGATTTAATTTTTTAGAACAAAATCCACCTAATATTCTTTTGCTTCAATATTTTCTTAACATATATGCTTTTTGAATAAACATTTTTGTTGGTACTTATCTCTGAACACATTTATAATAATGTATCCTTTATTTCCTCTATAGAAGGGTTTAGTGTTTATCATCCTGCTTAACTTCTCTCTTGAACATTTTACTTTCATCCATCTTTCATTCAGCTGGAATGTGCATTCCAGAATTTTATTCACTTAGAATATATATGCTGTATATTTTGGGTCATTTTAAATACTGAGGTCTATTTTCCTTTATATATGATTATTATATGAATGTAATTTGCTTACATATGGAATACTTGGATAATACCATTTTGTTTTAGAACACAACAGTCAGGGTCTGCATATCCTCTCGGTGTAGTGTTAAAAACACTCATTCTGAGGCCTTTACTCTATACCTTATCTGAAACCCTAATACCTTATCTCACCAGTCCCTGCTTCATTTTTTTCCAGAACACTTGAGTATGGAGTACCCCATACCCCATCCTCCTAGTGAATTCATCAGTGTATGTAAAAATATACAAGAAGCTATAGCTTTTTATTACTAAAGTACAGAAGACACACAAGTTACATTAGTTTCAGGTATACAACATAACAATTCACTAAGTTTATACATTAGGCTATGCTCACCACAAGTGTAGCTACCATCTGTCACCTTTCAGCTGTCATACTGCCATTGACTGTATTCCCCAGGCTGTATCTTTTATTCCTGTGACTTATTCTTTCCATAACTGGAAGCCTGTATCTCCCACTCCCCTTCACCCATTTTGCCCATCCTCCCATACTCTCACTTCCTCCACTCTAGCAAAACCACCAGTTTGTTCTCTGCATTTATGGGTCTCTTTCTGCTTTTTGCTTGTTATTTTAGTCATTTGTTTTGTTGTTGTTGTTGTTGTTGTTGTTGTTTTGCTTCTATGTATAAGTGAAATCATATGGTATTTGTCTTTCTCTGACTGACTTATTTCACTTAGCATGGTACTAGCCTTTAGGTCCATCAATGTTGTCACAAAGGGCAAGATCTCATTCTTCTTTATGGCTGAGTAATATTTCATTGTGTATGTGTGTGTGTGTATCCCGTATCTTTTTCTATTCATCTATCAGTGGACACCAGGTTGCTTCCATATCTTGGCTATTGCAAATAATGCTGCAATAAACATAGGGGTGCATATATCTTTTCAAATTAGTGTTTTAGTTTTCTTTGTTTTTCTAGTAGTGGAATTCCTGGATCATGTAGCATTTCTATTTTTAATTTTTTTGAGGAACCTCCAAACTGTTTTCCACAGAGGCCACACCAATTTACGTTCCCACCAACAGTGCACAAGGGTTTCTTTTTCTCCAATATCCTCTTCAACACATGTTATTTCTTGTCTTTTTTATTCTACCCATTCTGCCACCTGTAGAGTGATATCTCATTGTGGTTCTGGTTTGCATTTCCCTGGTGATGAGTGATGTCGAGCATCTTTTCATGTGTCTGTTAACCTGTATCCCTTCTTTGGGAAAATGTCTATTTAGAATCCCTGTCAATTTATTAACTGGGGTATTTGTTTTTTGGTGCTGACTTGTATAAATTCTTTATTTATTTTGGATAATAACTCCTTACTGTAGATATCATTTGTAACTATCTTCTCCTACTCACTATGTTGCCCTTTTCATGGCTTTGTCTGCTGTGCAAAGCTTTTTATTTTGGTGTAGTCCCAATAGTTTATTTTTGCTTTTGTTTTCCTTGCCTTAGGAGGCATAGCTAGAAAAATGTTTCTACAGCTAATGTCAAAGAAATTACTATGTTTTCTTCTGGAAGTTTTATAAATTCAGGTCTCACATTTAATCCATTTTGAGGTCTTTCTTCCATTTAGAGTTTATTTTTGTGTACCGTGTAAGAAAGTGGTCCCATGTCATTCTTTTGCATGTAGCTGTCCAGTTTTCCCCAGCACCATTTATTGAAGACACTGTCCTTTCCCCATCTTGTATTTTTGCCTCTTCTTTTGTCATAGATCAACTGACCATATAAGTATGGGTTTATTTCTGGACTCTTTGTTCTTTTTTTTTTTTAATTTTATTTAATTATTTGACAGAAGGAGAGAGAGATCATAAGTAGGCAGAGAGGCAGACAGAAAGAGAGGGGAAAGCAGGCTCCCTGCTGAGCAGAGAGCCGGATGTGGGCCTCGATCCCAGGATCCTGAGATCATGACCTGAGCCGAAAGCAGAGGCTTAACCCACTGAGCACCCAGGTGCCCCTGGGTTCTCTGTTCTATTCCATTGATCTATATATCTATTTTTGTGCCAGTACCATACTGTTCTGACTACTAAGGATCGTGGTATACCTGAAATCTGGGATTATGATACCTCCAGATTTGTTCTTCTTTCTCAAGATTGCTTGGGGTTACTTGGGGTCTTCTGTGGGTCCATACAAATTTTAATCTTATTTATTCTAGTTCTGTGAAAAGTGTTGTTGGTATTTTGATAGGGATTGCATTGAATCTGTAGATTTCTTTCGGCAAGAAGGATATTTTAACAAAATTATTCTTCTAATCCATGAGCATGGGCTATCTTTCCATTTGTTTGTATCATCTTCAATTTTTTTTTTTTCATCAGTATTTTAAAGTTTTCAGAGTACAGGTCTTTCACCTCCCTTGTTAAGTTTATTCCTAGGTATTTTGTTCTTCTGGGTATAATTGTAAATGGGACTGTTGTCTTAATTTCTCTATCTGCTACTTTATTATTAGTGTATAGAAATGCACTGATTTTTATGTATTAATTTTGTATCTGCAAATTTACTGAATTCATTTATTCTAATAGTTTTGTAGTGAAGTCTTTAAGATTTTCTATATATAGCATCATGTAATCTGCAAATATTGCCTTCAGTTCCTTTTGTAAGGTAAATACACAAGCCAGGTCACTCTACTCTCCTGCTAGTTTTTCCCTATTTTGGTGTATTCTTTAAAATTGGAATTGTAGTCCTTGAAAGGATATCGAATACAGATAGCAGTGATAATAAATAGATAGATGCAATTTTTACAGGGCAAAAAACAAGGACTTTGCTGTCTCAGAGGCTACATTCATG